TGAAGTGGTTAATTGATATTTGAATATTCAACCTGAAATTCTGTTAAATATTCTCAACATTCAGTTGTACATCAAATTGAAATAATCAAGTGTTCAGTAATCGATTAAATATTTGTATGTTTGGCACAACCTAATACTCTTGTTTTTTTTTATGATTTCGATGATTTCTGTTGATTATGTTAATCCATCCCTTGCCTAGATCCTTCCAAACCCACCTGTTGGTTTTGGAGGATTTTGCTGTCTTGAGGGGATGCAGCCTCTCCTATGTTACATGACATGGGGCTTGATGCCTTTTGAAACTTCTTATCTAAAGAAACTGTGAAACTTCTTATGTAAAGAATGTACCGTGGAGGAACCCTGTAAGAATGTCCAGAGAATCCAAGTTTAGTTAGTAGCTGTGCACCTGTAGATGCTGCATTGTTGACTTGTAGTGTAGCCTCTTCTCCTCTTCTCAAGCGACCGTTCACCAGTCAGTTGTACTTATCTCATTAGTTTGACTTGTCTGTCAGGTGAGGAGAGCCCGTCAGCCAATGGCGACACTGAACTGAAAGTCAAGATTGCTGATTTGGGCAACGCATGCTGGACAGTAAGCTGTTTTGAACTAGCTTTAAAACTTGCTGTGTCAGGTCGACCATAGTGTTGAAACTGCCATGAATTGTTAAACAGGTTTTTTTGAAAAGTCGGCGGTCAATTTGATAACTGGTTTGAATATGTGTGATAGTGTGTTACAACTGATTTCACACGTTGTTTGTATCAGTGTTGAATAGAAGTTTTGCCTTATGAACGACTAATGAACCTTTTTACTGTACTTATTCTTCATTCTTGATGGGATAATGGTTCGCAGGATTGCTGTGATAAAGTGTATGCATTTTGGGCATAACATGGCAACGGTTGTGCCGTTCAGAAAGTATGTCATGAACTAGTCATTCATGAGTCCGTTGCAAGACTGGCTACAGACAATCACTGGTGTATAGTAATGAAGAAATACCTTCGTCAAAAATCCTATTGCAACTTGTGCCTCGAACTGAAACCTGGAGGACTTGCGATGACCTGATTTCAAGTGCACTCCATAGTCTGATTTCATCTCTTCACAGCATCATCACTTCACCGAAGACATCCAGACGAGGCAGTATCGAGCCTTGGAAGTCATTATCGGAGCGGGGTACGACACTCCCGGAGACATCTGGAGCACAGCTTGCATGGTACGCCACTCCTAGGCTGAACTCTGTTTGAGGGAGGGGGGCTTGCTCTTCTTTTTAAAAAGGCTTGACAACATTTACGTCGAACACTAACTGCACCTTGAACAAGTGAATTGACTTTTGTAGGAGGACTCTGGCAGAGGGGAATGTTGGTTAATTGATTCAAATCGTGAAGGTTTCTTATTGTTTACTATTTGTAACACTTCCAAGTTACAGTGCAGCATGTGTTCTGTCAACAGAATTTTGTCACATGGTGTTTTTAAATACATTCAGCGTTGTATGGCCCACAAGTGTGCTCCTTTGTGTTACTTTTTGCTCTCCGCACAGTCATTCAATTTGATGTCGTACTGCACTGATTATGACATCACAGAAATTCAGGCCATTGTTAAAAATTTCTCAGTTGTGGGAACTTCAAACTGGCAACAGGTTTTCATTGCACATTGACTTTTTTTTTTCTTCAGGCATTCGAGTTAGCCTGTGGTGACTACTTGTTTGAGCCTCACTCGGGTGAAAACTACAGCAGGGACGAAGGTGAGTCTCCCCCTCGTAAATGCCGCACGGACGGTGCCCTCGATTTGAAACACGTGAGCTGCGTTTGTAGGTAACAAAACTTTCATCAAATCTGAAGGCACTCTCGTTCCTCCTTGAAGTGCGAAATGTAAATCTTGTTTGGCATCAGAATTGCAGGGCAATTCACTCTGAACTTGCCTGTAAATGTGTTCCGTTTGGTGAATTCCCAGTGAAAGTCATTGGTCGTGATGTCACAGATTTGCAGTCGTCTTCACCTTTGTGATGAGTTTGGCACAGTGGTGTCCATTCTCGTCCGGTCTCTGTAGAGAATTTTCGGTTACATGATTTTTGACGGTCAGTGTTCAATTTACTCAGATGTGCGTGAAAATGCGCACACCTTCCTAACATTTGGGCATACATGAAATTGCCAATAGAAATACCCAGATTGATTCATGGTATGCCTCCTTTAATGCCTTTTCCCGTCATGTTACGTCGCGTGAAACCTTCCATAGTGTAATTGGGCAACCAGAATTTGAAGCCATTACTGCGGTGGCACAGCGCTTGTGAACAAGTGTTACGCGCTCCATTCATGCCTCTTTGACTAATTGGGTGTTGTGATTTACTAAATGCAGGCGCGTGTCAAGCGCAATGCCACCATAGTTACGGCTTCTCCTTGGATTGGTCTACAGCTGTTCAAAGCAAACTTTGGCTGTGATTTTTGTTGTCTGCTCATCCACGTCTGGGTGGCTGTTTAATCCGCATGGTGTGTATAGACGTCAGAAAAAAAGTGGCTTGTTTGGAGTCCAAAAAATGTTCCTGCCGCTGCCTTTGGCTAACTTTGCCAATGCTTATTTTTTTTGGTTTTCAGATCACATTGCCCACATTACTGAGCTGCTGGGCACGATACCCAAGCACATTGCCCTCGGGGGGAAGTTCTCACGGGAGTTCTTCAACAGAAGAGGTAAGCACAGTTAAGAACAGAAACGAGAGCTGTTTGTGAAAAAACGGTAACATAGCTACCGATTTTATGGTACTTCTCGTTTTTTGTCTTATCGGGCAATGCTGCTTACTTGTGTTATAAAGAGAAACATCTCTGGTGACAGAGAAACTCTGGGCAGTCTTTTGAATTTTGTGGTCACTGCACCCAGTGCGCACTCAAAAATCTGGAGGGTTCATATTTGGGTTAACTTTGTGCTGTGGTAATGAAGCTTTCTTAAGTGGCCACGAACTCTTGTCTGCTGTCTGCTTAAAATGTAAGGTACGTGTTGAGGCTAGGCAGCATCTGAATTTGAATGGCTGTGGCTGTCAGTAACCCAGTTTCCCATGGAAAGTAACTGGCAGCGGCTGCAACCACTTTCAATAGACATGCGTGTACCTTCCAGCTGCAGCTGATAGATTGGACACAGCCTCGCTGTTCTGTTTTGTGAACTGATTCAAGGAATTATGGTACCCAGAGTTCAGAAAGAATTGAAAGTATGAGAGAATAACTAAATTTGGAGGCAACTGGATGGTTGCCAATTAGGCAGTTTCATCTCATACAGGTATTTGAATTTCTAATATGCATGGGCTTATTGAAACCAATATAACTTGAAAAATAATAACACGTGTTGAGTGATGGCAGTCTGAATAGCCCACCACCAATTAATTGGAGTGCATCTCTAGGGATTGGGTACGTGTGTATTCCAAACGTAGTTATTTGATTCTGTGTTTTGTAAATAGTGGGTTTCATTGTTGGCTTAAGGAAACTTTTGCTTGTGTGGTGTTCAAAGGCTGGTAAGAATTGCCTCGTTCTCCAGTCATTTCACGAATGTACAACATTTCTCCCAAATTGTATGACTCTGTGACAGTTGCTGTTCTCTTGATTATATTTGACCTTACTATCCCTCCCCCGGAATTATTTCCTCTGCCAGGTGAGCTGCGCCACATCACCAAGCTGAAGCCCTGGAGCCTCTTCTACGTCCTGACAGAGAAGTACGACTGGACCGAGCGGGAGGCCATCGAGTTTGCCTCCTTCCTGGAGCCCATGCTGAAGTTTGACCCCAACAAGCGGGCCACGGCTGCCGCGTGCCTCCAACACCGCTGGCTCTACTCCTCGTGACGGCGGCTGCACCGTAATCAGTGCTCGTAGAATTTTGAAAATAAAGGGAAAAGGCGAAAACACAACCGAGCTCTTACTCATTTGTACAGTACACAGGGTAGGGCATTGTTCTTCCGTAAACGGCACATGATTGAATGAACATCATATGTGTAAGAAATAAAGTACTATAAGGAATAGAGTTGTTTCACTGTCAGTCACAAATAAACGCAAATCATCAGTTGAAACAAGGACTTCCCTCGCATAGTCCCTGCACCTGGAGCGACTTATTTTAAAACGTCCATGCATGGAACATCACTTCGGTGTATGGAAAAAGTATCCCCTCTATCGTTTTGTTTAGATTAGCATCAGAAGAGCAGTGAAGTGGATTACACTGTGTCAACAGTCTAGGCTCACTGCGATATTTGCCATGATCACAACAGATCCCTGTTGCTGTGCCTCCAGGCAGGATCTGGGCGTAACAGGGAGTGATCTTTGACAAAGGATTGGGACTAATGCCTTGGCCGGGATGCATGTGAATAGCTTGTGTTGTACCTTGACGACTGGGCCATTTGCAATTTCATGTGTGACAAATCGACAATTAGTTGCTGCCAATCTGGTAGAGAACGAACAGAGAACGTTTGTAGCACTTCTTAAGGACAAAGGTTTGTGCTTTTTATGTTTGTTTTTTTAATATTTCAAATCGGTCGTATTTTTTCTGTATCTTTAACCCCTTTGCTACGGAGGACTGCTACTACCACACCGTTGTGTGAGGATTAATGCATACCACACATACAGTCCATTCACCATGCAGCTGCTGGTTCAATGGGGCCTGCTGCTGGACAAAGCTTTGCATTCAGGGCATACCACAGCCCAGCAGTCGCGGTCAAAATAATCCAGCCGTGAAGGGGTTAAGGGTTGTGTTTCACGTCTCAGCCAGGGTATGTCCTATTTTTGTAATTTTTGTAAGTCTAACTTTTCAGTTGACTTCATTTTTCCCATTCAAACTCAGAGGGAATGTGCAAAACATGTTCGCTGCTCAAAACAATTGAAATCTGAATGGAAGGACGAAATAAACATTGCTGGTGTCTGGAAAGGAATCCTCGTTTGGTTCTCAGTCCAGACGGATCTCGTCAGAGCAGATGTGGCGTACAGCACCAGGCCCGAGTAACTGAGTAATTTGGAAACACTAACGCAGAATGCGCCATTGTTTTGTCAAGGACGTTTGCATCAAATCTTTCCATCACAGTTTTGGAAATCTTCAGATCAGGGTCATTTTCCCAACCTTATTTTGACTCGGGGGGTACCATAGGCCACGAGTTTTCATCTGTCCAAAGTGGCCCATTCAGCATCATTCTGTGAGCACTAAGAGAGAAGATGGCTCCTTTGGAAGTCAGTTTGGACATGTGAAATCAGATCTCGGTTCCGAATGGGTCTCTCTCTAGTGACATCACTGAGCACAGATTGCCACATGCATCAGCACTGTAGACTTCTAATTTCCTTGAGGTGCATCTGCTGTGCCGTATTTCGAAGATAGTCGGATCAACCCACGTTGCTTGGGTGTAGAACATTGCACACTGTGTGTACACACACCTGTTGGCGTTGTACATGCGGTCGTAATTTTGATGGCACCCTGTGAGCGAGAGATCTCTGACGTGCTGGGAAGAGTGTACCACAGTTCCCCTTGTTTATTTTCTCTCATAGAGAAACCAGTTTTAAGGAAGTCTTGTGCGAGAGACGGTACACCTTTTTATCATTTTACTGACAGACAAGGATATTTCTGTGTATTCAACATTTCTTGAAATGTCTAGCATTCTGCGTCATAGTTTCCTCCTTTGGTGATGGTATTATGAGACCGAATTGATTGAGCAGTTCCCCCGTGAAATATGGATTTACTATCCATCCTGTAATTTTTTTATCGCAATGTTACGGAGCAATAAGTACATCAAAAATCCTAGCTTCAAATTTATTAATGGAATTAAAAAAACAAAGAAAAACTTGCGTCGGCGTTCCAGATTATGCACATGTTTAGCGTATTGTAAATAGGTATATTTATTCACAGCAAGTTTAGTGAGAGCTGTGTTGTAAATTTGAACAATATTCCACATTGGTTGGTGTTGTACATGAATTATAAGTGTACATGTAAATTTCCTCTCTTTTTTGATATTGGTAGTGTTTTGTAGGTAGTTGTTTGTGAAGCTGTGTGTTATAGGGAGTGAGCACTGTTTGGATTGATGAAACTAGTGTCAGGTGTCATACCCATGTAAATTATTCCCGGAAATTTTATACCATGTTTCTTGTCGATCAAGTAAAAAAGAACAAAAAAGAAAATTGTGACACATCATGTGCGAGTGTCGGTAGAATGTAACAGCCCATCGAAATCAATAGGCTTTTTGTATTGTTATCTTTTCCATAATTTGTACAACACGAAACATGCAGAAGGAAAGCTTTAATTGCCCGTCTTTTTATTTTTTGTAGTGACTGTGATTAGCATCTTCTGTGCCCTCCAAAGATCAGTGAGTTTGATGTAAACTGGTCAAAATATCAAAACTTTTGGACCAGTTTGTGTGGAACATGCGAGGTCTCCTGTTGTGGATGCACACTACACACATGATGCACTTAACCTTGGCGAGCTGCCAAGACTGCAGACGTCAACCTTGTTCCCATGGGTAGGATCTTGCTGAGCCATTTTGGCCCCCACCATGCCTTGCGTGATCTTGGTGAAGGAACGCGCACGCAGCCCATGGAGTCAAGGTTGACCACAGGCATTGCTGATTGCCTTGAGATGTCTACTGAACAAGTTGTCAGTGACATGAATTGTATGTATATGTATCTCTGTTGATGGAGCTTAGCACAAGGGACATGCAGTGGCGTGGCTTGGGTACATTTTACCTGGGGCACTTGGGGACCCTCATTTTCTGAAGGAGGGCACACAATGGGTTCGGTCACAGTCAAAACTTTGACCATGGTGAACTATCACCAGATTATCTTCTAATTCCTGAACGGGGGAGGGGGCACCCCCCCGTTACCTTACTTGGGAGATGTATTTACATGTATACTAATACCAGATGTTTGGTCTTGGGCACAGTTGGTCGAACTATGCAGTCACACATTATTATGCTGTGGTGGATTCGAACTCTCAACCCTGTGATCGGGAGTAACAAACCCTATACATGTACATCCGAAAGGCTGCTTGTCTGCTTACCACACAAACACTTACTACTGTTTGAAAAATTGACGCAGAATCCTTGCAAAACAAACTCTTGCTGAAATTCCATGCTAGTTTGATACCATTTGAAAGAGTGACATTTAATCAGACATGTGGTCCAATTTGGTTTGTAAGACTGCTTAATGGTTACGTATGTTAATCTTTTTTATATCAAATGATGTAAAGATTTTTTCCATGGATCAACAAGAGATGCCCTCAAATAGTGTACCAGATTTTCCAGTAGTATGATGATGTTCATTTTCCTGTTCATAAATCATTCATTCTGCCATATTAAGTGACTTTGACAGTGCATTGTGATTGGCTGGTATATCAGTACACTTGTAGATTTTATGCAGTTGGAAGTTGAACTAGTCACATCAAAAAATGAATTATTCATGAGTTACTTGGAAGGAGTACCATTTCCACTGTAAGTTTCACACATTGTGATACACATGTTAATAATCGTTTGTAAATGTGAAGGAATTATTCAAACTAAGTTTTCCCTCAGACACTACCGGTCCAGTGGTAGATGTCTTGTAGGACAGCTAATTTTTTTCCTTGGTGTGTGCGTGTCATTAATTATTCGTAAATACACTCCACCGGCATCTTCCCTTTGAAATATTCCTTATGGTCGAGGACCACACCGAAACTTCAGTGTAGGCCAGTTATTTCGGTAAGTGGTTGGTATATGTACATAGTTCGACTCATTCGAGAGATTTTACCCTCAAGTAACCTGTGTTGATCACAGAATGAGGAATTGCCGAAAATGCAAACTGAGACTCAAACTGTGTGATTTTTTTTTCAGACGTGCAGAGCAAGAGGGATCTTGGGGATGGGCCAATTATGGTTTCTTTCGAACTTGTCCTAGTGTGCACGAGAGAGCGAGTAAAATTCACAAAGGTGAAAAACAAGGCTGGAAAATGCCTGCCTTCTGGTTGAAAATTGGCCTGATCTGTAGTGCACGTGACCGATTCAAAGATAAAAGATTTCCCAATGTGACCAAAAGCCGTCAGTTTTAAACATCAGCCGTATATGATCTATGAATCGGTTGAAACGAAAGTGTATGTTCAGATTTGATAACCTTGGCTTTTTCATTTGTAATTGGGCTTAGGTAGATGCCGTCCTTGCAGAAGTTTGTTGTATTCAAAAGGAATCGCGCAACCAGGAATTCTCACAGGGCTGCGAAGCGCGGGAACGTTCCTTTTTTTTTTTAGCAAGAAGATGGATGTTGAACCCTTCAGTGTCACATAGAAGACACGATGTTGCATGGTGCCTTCAGGTTGTGCTGAGCCAGATTTGTTCTGCAAATGAATTCGATAAGAACTGTTTTTGCTAAGTAGCTCTGTGGTCATACCTGATAGTCAGCCGTGTAGAGGGAAGTTTCTGTAAATTGGATATGCAACAAAATGAGTAACACAAGTAGTGGTGCGCACTACGTTATTTTATATGCAGGATAAAAATGGAAATAGACTTAAAGTAACAGTACTTTTAATAAAGAAATTAATGATTTAAAAAATTACCAACTTGATATGCAGTGGCCGTGTCGGATTCTATAAACAGGAATTTCAGAATTGGAAGTTGGTACTCCTTGAAAGAATTGAATTTAAGCTAGAAAGTGAAGCCCATTTTATGATGAATTTGGCCGTGCATACTTTTGGGGACGTCATTTAATGCGGCTGGAAGTGCACAGAGGCCGTCTGAATAGCTCGGCTGCGGCTGGAAGACATGTTTGTAACTGGTAGAAGCGTCAAGCCGTTGGCTTGCGGCTTCTATAGGTACGCGTCATGTCCAGCCGTAGCCCAAGTCATTCAGACACGACCCAAGCGCTTAGGTTGAACATGACCGAAGGCCGGCAATTTAGAGTTGAGTTGGTTCATTGTGGTTATCTTGGACATTTCATCCCACTGGGGAAAAGACCAACATTTCGACTGCAGCTTGATTTTGTAAGTCTGTAAATTGTCACGGGTGTATGACTTAAATGCTGATTTGCGTTCGGGAGTAGGATCTGAAATGTGACGACACTGACGAGTCTCGGAATCAAATGCAAATGAAATAAACTACGTCATAAACAGTGAAATTGTTTTTCCGGCTTCATGTTAGTTTGGAGTCTGTACACGTTTAATCATAGTGTCTACAGTAGAAAATTCACTCAAAAGTCTGACGTCAAACAGGAGCTTGAATGTAAAAGTACGCGATTTTTAATTATAGCATCGACCTTTATCCTTTACATGTACAAGTCAAATTCACAGCACTGAACCATTTTAGGCAGTTCTACGGTTCGCCTATCTGCTATGCCTTCAGTGGATGTCGTGATTTATACAACTTGGAATTTACAGTCCTCTACAGTATAAATCCAGTGACTTTGTTTGGATTAAGCCAAAATAGTATACGTTTTGTACCTTTAAAATGAGGCACTGACGGTATGCTTAAAGGGCGACTTCAATTGCAGAAATAGCTTGTCAAATGTCCTATAATGAACGTTGCTCTATTGTCATCTAAGTTTGCCTTATATCTACAGTTGGAAAAAAAAGACCTACAAAAGCGGTTTCAAACACTGGGAAAATGGTACAATACTATAGTCCCTATTTAAAAGTATCTCTTGCGGTAAAATAGTAGGAATATCTTATTTTAACCCACCGTAGCAATGTAATGCCATATTTGTTTACGATTCTTCTTCATTTTAGCAGAAACACCGTTTTATTGAAGACTTTCATGACCTGGAGTTGCATAATTCATATAATAAGTCAAAAGTTGAGAAATCCAGGGAGCTTGCTGTAATGATGCTCAATACAGCGTGAATTAAAACTAGATTGTGTTCATTATTGAAGGACCGAATGAGATGCCGTTTAAGGATCGAGAGGCACCTTCTTTTGCGACTTTTTTAAAATCATAGATATCTTTTACTTATTACCCTTGGTTTGCTTACAACTTATGTAATGGCGTTTAACAGAAACTGCCACTAAAATCCACGAACAATACCCCGCTCCGGTTCGCCTCCATTTGTGTACGTAAATGTTGCCCCCTTTTTTGTAAAAGCTGGATCCACCGCTATGCGAAGTATTTTGTCCTCCATTGTGCCGGAAAGGTAACGTTTTCTTTTAAGGAGCTTTATCAATTTGGCAGATGAGGCAGGTGACCAGACCATATTGAAAGAAGATTTGCTAGTAAATAGTTATGTTTATTTGTAGGAAAAAAGGTCATCGTCAAGGCTGTGTAACGGATGTAATGCCGTTAGCCGAACATCCAACAAGAGGAGAATCGGCACCATGTTAGACGCTGAAGCCGTATTGAGCGGGAACAACTAAAACCGTCCGTCAATATCTGCTCCTTGTTCGGTTACATCTTTGTGGGATGGTTCGATACCTCCTCGTCAGGTGGTGCAGATGGGGCCCCTCTCCTTGACAGAGGCGGGGGGGGGGGGGGGGGTG